CCGGCTGAGGTGGGCACCTGTGAGACCTGGGGGCTCTCTTTGGGCAGCCCCGCCGCTCCGCGCCTGGCTCTCTTTGGGCCGTTAGCAGTCGGCTCTGGGCAGAGCGGAGGCCCAGGCCCTCTGGCACCTGCTGGTTCCTAAGGTGAGAGAAGCCGGTGGTATCTCATCTCGCCTCCGGCCGCCTCCCGGCCGGGCAATTTGGACACGCACCTGGGTGATTCCTCGGGAGGGGAATGGGTAGCACGGAAAGCCGTTTTTTTTTAATGTGGCCTCCTTGCTTTAAGAAGACATTTTAGCGTGTGAATGTCTTGTGACCTTCAGGCTTTCCACAAACTCTTGAGAGGTCATTTGTAAGTGTGATGCTGTAAGGGCGTTCAGGTCTGCCTGAATCCTGGTAGTGATGGTGTTCTGCCTTTTGTTCTTCTTTATGTCAGGGGAAAACTGTTATGTTCCTATTTTCTGTGTGTTGTTTGTTCTTTTCTGTATCTTGGCACTTTCAGTGTGTAGCTAGTGACAAGTATCGTGTTATTAATTAATATGCGACCATTAAACAGGGAATATTTTTTTTAGTTGCACCCGGAATGGAAGTCCATAAACAAATACATTGGAAAAGCCATAAGAAAATCAATGCCCAGCCCAAAGTATGGTCTTGTTACAAATATACTGTGAAGTTCTCTATATGTGTGTGTTCGTATACATGTTATTAGGTATAACAGCAGCAGGATGATAGGAATCCTATCAATATCTTGAACTTTTTTAAGATAATCTGTAGGATTTAAACTTAATGGTACCCTTAACTGGAGGTCTTTTTGGTCTGATTTTACTTATAACTGTCTGTGTAGTAATAATTATTAACAATATAGTTTGAATCTTCCAAGATTATGTTTCCCTCCACCTTCACTGCCAAAGAAAAGGTAATTGCGTAACGGCTCCTTGGGTTATCTTTATAATCTTTTGGACAGGTAATCTGTAAAGACTTTGCCTGCTCAAAGTTACTTTCTCCTCCTGTTAGGTCTCAAGGTATTCTGAGAAAAACTAGCTGGGTGACTGGAACATACTGCTGCGAAATTTAACTCTGTGGAGCTTGCACAGTTGTGTGTGACACTAAAATTGCAACTGAGGTGGAAATTTTGGTAATTGAATATAATATACCTATAATTATGGTAGACTTGTAGTGTTGACCTATTGCTCATCACTATATTAGGAACTTACCTGATGCGTTATGAAGACATGAATCTTGTCAAAGAGTCTCAAACATGATCTCCTAAACTCTGGAAGATCAACTTTTTTCTATATTGCTGTCATGCCAAAACACCCATTATTTTTTGTTGTCTGATTTTTACTTTGCTGTGTAATGGGACAGGCATTGCACAACTTGAAAAATGGTATGTGCTATTTTCCAGGGGTTTTATTATGAGTCCTTTTTCAGACAGTGCTTTAACGTATTATTTGGGCAGCTACTGTTTTAAAGGGGCATTTACAGTCGTGAAGAGAACGGCTTTGGTTACAGTGATACAGAGGGTTATTATACTACAGGAGTTCAGATACGATGGCTAGCCTGGATAACTTCTGATATCGCTGTGCAAATATTTAAATTTGCATGAATGATGAATCACAGGAAATGCATGCTGCTTGCTTCATGCACAAAAGAAAATGTGCTACGTGTTGGGCAGGTGTCTTAGAACAAATTTTCTGGTATGAGATTCAGGTAGCTACCTATACAAAATATGAAAGGAATAAGAATTTTTCTTTTCAATATGTGACAAGTTTGTTTAATGGACAGGGAGAGCACAGGTAGAGTCTATCTGTGAGAAGATAGAAGGCCTCTTTACCTGGTGATGAATGGATACTTCTACTATATTAGAAGCCTATATAATATAGTCTATTATGTAGGACAATACACTAGATCATACAGATAGACATATATATGCTTATTAACTTTGTAAAGACTCATGCGTTTTAAGAAACCTATTTTTTCTTTAAGTAAATACTGCTGGTTCTACTCCCTGGGTGGTCATTTTTATGTAACCACAGTAACTTTAGCCAGTTCACCTGAAAAATCAAATTTTAGCAAGATACTTTGTGTACCCTAATTCTTCTGCTAATGTTTCACTTTAACAATGCTAACTTTGGTCTCAAATCTAGCTTATCATAGTTTATCACTGAAGCAAACAAGTGCTTTTAGGTTGTTGGTGTTTTGTGATGAAACTTTTAAAAACGAACACTAGAGTTAGTGCTTCCCTGCTGCTCAGAGTTGAAGTACTCGCTCTGCAGCTTTCTGTGCAAATGAATTATTTCTATGGTAAGCAGCCTGCTCAGAACCGTGTCTGTAATGGCTTTGTTGTCAGTCCTTTCTACCAATTGTGTTACTCCTACTACTCTTTCAGAGCTACTCTATCAGTGTGAGTGGGATTTTAATGAGAATCTGAATGTTTTGTTTTCAGAAGTCTGATGTTACTTCTTACTGCCTTAGTCATAGAACTCTTCTCCTCATTAATGAACTTTTTGAACCTGTAACTTTAGTTTACACATCTGTCTTCTAGCTGTTGAAGAAGGAAACGACATAATCATGGCTGACAACAGTATGCTGGTGTCCGAAACTGGAAGGAGCCTCTTGGCTGATTCTTCTGTTCTTGATTCAAAAATTATAGAAACCTCCAAAGAGAATGTATTTCCTGGATCTGTAGTGGATGTTGAAGGTAATGGGAGAAGCTTATTTTAAGACTACTATGTTTTGTTATACGTACAAATATAAACGACTGCTCTGTAGGATTACAGGTAGTCCTTAGAGACATAAATAGTCTTGAGCTTGAAATTAATTCAAGAACAAACCTTGAAATTAAAAAATAACAAAAATGGCATTTTTGTTTTCCTGCAATGCATTAGCCAAAATCCAGTGCAGTCTTTTGGTGCAAATGACATAGAGACAACACTTGTCCCTTCCTCCTAATATTTTGAAAGCTTATTAATACATGGAGAAAAAGAACAAGATATCTGAGTTGAGTTCTGCTATTTCTTGTTGAAACTGAGCAGTTACTGGGAAGTAATGGACCTTGGCAGCCAGGAGCACAGAAACTAGAGAAGATACTAGCTGTCTGTTTTCCAGTGAGGCTTGGTATCTAATTCTGCTAGAAGAATTAAGTCAATAATTTTGTTGTTTTTCTTTCTTCCCCCTCGCTGACTTTTCTTGCATATTCTTGCTTTGAGTGTTAGGTAACTAACAGGTAACAAAAGGACAGGCTTCTTGAGGTAACATTTATTTTCAGGCTTGTTCCTGATAAACAAGGCATCTTGAACAGATGCAATCTGCCTGTATTCTTCTATATGTTATTGACTGATATTTTTCTTTAGACCTAACATGGATTTTTCTATTAAAATACAAGTATTATCCTTGTTTCTCTCTAAACAGAAGAAATGCCTCAAATAGAAACAAGAGTGGTTTTGGTGGAGGAGGCAGGTAGACGTGAGGAGCTTCTGAAAGCCTTGGAGGTATGTGGGTCTAAGATAAAACAGTCACTGCAGTGAGATGGTATGCTTTTAGACTTCCAGTAACCAGGTTGGTTCTGTACTAAAGTTCTCCTCTTCCACAGACCATTAAGATAATGGAAGTACCAGTTATAAAGATAAAGGAAACTAGTCCTGGTAAATCAGAAGAAAAACTAATAAAAAGTATTATTCCTATGGTATGTCATGCAGTTAAGTACATGCGATTGCATGCAGCATGTTGTACTTCACTGGGGCTGAAATGTGCACATGTTTTAACTTACATTAATTGGGCATGATGGTCACAATATATGCTAATGTTTCTGATATCACTTAAAGCTTGTCAAAACTTGCACTTTTTTACACTTTCTCAAATGTGGAAGTAATATCTGCAGCTCTTAATCCACTGATTAAGTTTTCTAACAGGGGGCTAGAAATGTCAATGGAGATACTCAACTGCATGATAATATTCAGTCAACACATAAGGTTTTGCTATGAACTGACTTCCTAATTGGTTAATTGACTTCCCTTTCAAATGAAACTTGAGTGTAAGAAGTGGTTCTCCATTTCTTGATGTGAAAAACTGAGAAAATAAAATTTGGAACTAATAATTGAAAGTGGAATAAAACAAATGTTTAGAGCCTTTAAAATTATCAAGCAATGAACAAAATTGGCTTGTGTTCTTTAGATCTTATGCAGCATGGAGCTTGCTGTTGCAAGCTGGCTGCTAATTTTTAGTAACATCCAGAAGTACCTTAAACTGTTCTGACAGTCTGAAATTTCATTTCTCTTTTGTGCTTAGTTTGTTTTTTTTGTATCAGTAACTATTTCTAATGCTACATTATCAGTATGAACTGATATGTAAACTACTAAAGTAACTAGGATTCTTATTCTTCAGAAGCAGGAATTGCTTTAAGATATTTTTTAGGTGCAGTTCATAGCTATTCTTATGCTAGAGGACAGTGCATCTCATTAAGCTTTCACAAATCCTAAGAGTCTGTGTCTGTTGAAATTTGAATCGTATACTTTTCTAATGGTCCAAACTAAAAATCAGTTAAATTTTGACACTAGTGTAAGTATGTTGCCTGAATAATGCTTTCCCCTTCATCCCCATGAATCAAGGAAATTAAAGTGCCCTGTATAAAGACAGACACTATAGAAGAGCTTGGAGATTCTGATTCCCCAGAATTTGAGACTATCTTTGTTGTATCAGACTTCCAAGATTCTATCTTTAACAACCTCTGCAAAGCAGATTGCCGTGTCATTGGACCTCCAGTAGTACTGCACTGTGCACAGAAAGGAGAGGTATGTGCTTTCTGTTGAAATCAGCTGGGTAGTTCTTTGGTACAGTGAGTTCTAAACATTCAATGTACAAAAAAAAAATATATTTTGCTTTGTCAATCAATCATAAATGTTCTTAGCATTGAATTTTAAGAAGTGCCAGTTTCTAATACCATTTTAGAATATTACATGTAGTGAGAAATCACAGGTAGACAGTAGTAAGTCAACAACTACTGCAGTACTTGTGGGAGTTCTTGATACACTAGCTGGGCTTGTGTCCTTAGGAAAGGCAGCACATAAATGAAACTCCAGTAGACGCTTTGTATTTCCAAAGGTTGCCATGTAGAGGGGATGGATTGGGGAGGAAAAAAAGGATGGAGTGCTACCTTGGGGATGGTGTGTCTGAGGCTGAGGTATAACTGAATACACAGAGTTGGATGTGTCTGATGCATTTTAATACTAGGAACAATAGAGCTGTATTGAAGATAATGGTGAAACTTTAATGGAAGCTGTATGCTTTTGACTAATAAGTTTGCTTCTTACTTTCAGCCTTTACCTTTTTCCTGTCGTCCACTGTACTGTGCAAGTATGTTGAACTTGGTACTGTGCTTTACTGGATTCAGAAAGAAAGATGAATTAGTAAGACTTTTTTTTTTCCTTTGGATCGGTAAAGCTATGTTAAGTTTGTTTTCAAAATGCTCTGTTCTATTGTCTGTAAGGTTTAACCATGATTTGAGCTCATTTGGGGGAATGAATTGCTTTGTTGTGTTCTTTTGTTTTGTTGCATGTCCAGAGGCAGTAATATTTGAGGATGGGAACAAAACTGTTTCCTTGTGCAAGTCCTGTGATGCCGTTTTCGGTTACTTTTTTGTTGAATCACATTAAACAGCTCTAATTCAGTAGGGCTTAAAGATTTGTAGGTTTAGGCTTCAGATTAGATGATGTTTACCCAGTAGAGTCCTCTTATTTGTACAGGTAGTAGTGTGGTTAGGTAAAGCTTTGTAGTCCTGTTCGGAGAATTTGCAGACATGTTATGTTGCTGCCATCCTATCCTCCTATCATGCTATCAGGACTTGAGTCTTGACATACCTAGGTATGAAGTGGTTTGATACTCTAGCGCTTTGCTTTTCTATTTCAGTGATGCAGTTGGCATGTGATTTCCCTGTTAGACACCTGGGAATCAACAATATGGCTCCACATCTTCATCTGGGGGGAAAAAAAAAAACCCAAGCCTTTGCCCAGTGTTAGGGATAGTTGGGTTTGATCTGCTAGATTCAAATTGGACAAATCGCAATCTTATGTAAATTCTGGCAATTACCCCTTGAGGTTAGAATTGACTAAATCAATGAGGATAACATGCTTCAAATCTATTGGATGTGAAAAGGTGAAGGCATTATGTATGATGATCACAAGAGTACTAGTGGCTTGTGTAGTCTTCCTCAAGCTACACAGCAAGGCTGTATTAAATGTCAAAAAAAAAGTTAATAGTTCTTCCGATGTTCGCATCTACAGGAGAAGATACAGCTGATACAAGTTGCTTTAAGAACAAATTGGAGCATTTCTATTCCTAGACATTTAATGTAACCTCCTGTAGCTTGCTTTGTAAACCATTTTTATACTGCTCTCATTCTCCACTTGTACACTTCAAAAGATACACTGAAAACTTATTTAATCTTTATTTTTCAGGTTAAGCTAGTGACCTTGGTTCATCATATGGGTGGAATTATTCGAAGGGACTTCAGCTCAAAAGTTACACATCTGGTGGCAAACTCAACACATGGAGACAAATTCAGAGTATGTAAGCTTGAGTTGATACTTCAAGGAAGCTTTCAGAATTTGGCTCTTGTAGACTAAGTCTGTAAATTATGCCTGAGTTTGTAAGTTGAACTCGCCAGGTAATGGTGAGTTCATCTCTCTCTGGTATTGAGCTTTGACATGATTTTGTCTCTTGGCATCCAAATAATATAAATTGCCTGAATGCAGAGATTTTGAAATAGACAAGTATAGTAAATAACAACAAAAATGTTTAAGTACTGATGCTATTGGTACTTAAGACATTCATGAATGCTTTGTTCATTGATGAACAAGTGTTTATATATCAACATGCCTGCTTTGTTTGTCTGTCCAAACAGTAAACTTTCAGATAACTTGCAAAAAGCTTTAGTACTCAATTTGTTTATATCTTCTTTTAGAAGTTATTTTTAACTTACCTATAAGCATTCAAATCTTCCTTCATGTATAAATATATGTGGGGTTTTTTTTTTGAAAACACCAAAAGGGAATCCTTCAGTGCATGTATGTCCAGTTGACAAGTAAATAAAAATTTATAGTTCTTTTGTACCATGGAATAGGATATAGCAATGCCTATGTCCCTTGCTTCTCCCTTGTTTGAGTTGTTAGTAAACAGCTGCTTTTTTCATAGTCTCTTTCTAATCTTCCAGTTGGAAGAGAAGACCTACTTTCTAACTCTGTTGAAACACTCTTTTCTGCTAACTCAAAGGGGTAAAAGTAGGAAAATTTTACAGTCTCTCTCAAGAAGTCATGGAAGTTGCCTTTGGAGTAGTCACTTTCTCTTTGGTAAAAGCAGTCTGGGATGTTTGTCTTCATACAAAGTATCAAAAGCAGAAAAAAGATCCTGTATTCCACTGGAACAGAGATTTTGTTTTCTATTTTTTGAGTGGTGAAGGATTTCAGACTAACAAAATGGTGCACTTTTGAGTAAGTGTCAAAATAGCGATTGGTCTGATCTCCTAGTCACTGAAGAATTAATACATTCTAACTCTTGGGAGTGAGTTGGATGTTGAAGGAATGTGTTCACTTTTTGCAGTGTCATCTTGAAAAGTAAAAGCAAAGTTACAAATTTTTCTTGGCATGGGAAAGACTTAAATGGAAATACTTACTTGGTACTACTTGTGCTTTTCCTGTTTTTTTAGATTGCTGTAAGTCTTGGTACTCCTATCGTGAAAGCTGAGTGGATTTATAAGGCTTGGGAGAAAAGGAATGAGATGTAGGTGTTATTTTCCTTCAGCCTTAACCTTGCATCCTGTTCACCTGTAGTGTTGTGAGCTGTTTAAATAGTGAATTAGCACTGTTTTAGTGACATCTTGTGCATCTTTTTTTTTCTCCTTTCAGTGATTTCTATGCAGCTGATGATGACTTTAGAAATCAGTTCAAGGTTCCTCCCTTCCAGGATTGCATGTTAAGTTTCCTTGGATTCTCTGATGACGAGAAAGCTAACATGGAAGAGATGACAGAAATGCAAGGTTATTTTTTATGAAAGTTTACCTGTGGAAGAAATGGGCTTTGTAGCTGATAAATACTTCACTGAAGCTGAAACGCTGGATTGTGAATCCTGAAGTATTAATGGAGACTCTTCAACTTGGAGAGCTATAAATTGATTTTTAGATGTCAATGTATGCATAAGTTCTGGTACTGTTGAAGACTTCAAACTTCCTAGGCTGATTGAAACTAGATGATTTAAAAAAAAATGGATGCCTAAAGATATCCTGGAAAACTTGATACATAATATGTATATTCTGCTTCAGTTTTCATAATCAGTTTTGTGGTATGCATCTTTACATAATTCACAGAAAGTGTCTACAATGTTTACAACTTTGATATGGATCATCACTGGTAAAACACTTGATTGGAAGTGTTCCATTTTTTGATAGTGTAGTACAGTACTAATAATTACATTGACAGTAATGATGTAACAGATAACTTACAAGTCTCCAGCCTTGTATTGCTAGGAGTTGCATGTAACAGAACTATAGACGTGGGAATGGAGCAAGTTTGTAACAGCAAGGCTTTGTGAAAAGAGATGAAAGTTGGCTCAGTTTGCCGTCCCGTCTCCTCCCATTTACCTAAAGCTACTTATAAGATTGTGACATGCACAGGTTCTAACTTGTGAATGTCTTTAGGGTGAGTATTTCTGTCTTGCTCTTCCAAGAAACAAGAAAAGCTTTCCAGAAGGATATTGCATTTATTGTCAGACAGGTTTAAATGCCTTCTGAACTACGTGTACTCCTGACTGTGTACTACTGCATGCTACATCCTATTTCCTAAAAACTGTTGTATGCTGATAATATCTGGGATGGTATGGAAGCCCAGCAACTGATCAGCTCACTGAAGAGTTCATGTCTCTGGCTCTTCTCTCATTAATGATAAGTGCCGCAGAACTATGAAGTGAGCTACTAACTTCTAACAATATTATTCTTCAGTTTTGCTAATTTGCCTTTTTTTATCTAGGAGGACATTATTTACCAGTTGGTGACGAAAGATGTACACACTTAGTGGTTGAAGAAAGTACAGTAAAAGATCTTCCATTTGAGCCTTTAAAAAAACTTTATGTTGTAAAGCAAGAGGTTAGTGCTGACATTCTTGAAAGAATATTGCTATATAATACTCAGTATGTTGCATTTTGTCAGAGGAAGCCACATGTTTGCATTTAGTATGCAAACTGCCTTACTATTATATATATTATTTTGAATATTTTTTAACTTTGCATGAAGCCCTGTAATGTATTTTTTAATATGTGGTTTTATTTTCCTTTAGTGGTTCTGGGGAAGCATTCAAATGGATGCCAGAGCTGGAGAGTCCATGTATGTATTTGAGAAGGTATGTTGAACTCTGAAATGATACACAGCATGTATTTGGTGGTAAAATTGGCATGTACAGTAGTATGTGTGGGGTCAGAGGTCAGATGTCTTAAAGCAACATTTATGTTCCAGAGAATCCATTATAAATTTATACTTAGAATACTAATTGGGGAAAAAACTTTTTTCTGCTTCCTAAAGGTTGAACTTATTTTTAGGCAAACGAAATACTAGTGTGGCTTCTGATTTAAAAAAAAAAAAAAACAAACCAAAAAAAACCCAAACCCACACAAAAACAACAACAACAACAAAAAACCCAGCCCATTTTTAGCCTATTTTTCACTTGGCTTCCCTGAGGAGAGTCATGTTGTGTGCTGATCTTTACAATTAACTTACCTTTGCACTGAGTTGAGCTGGACACAGTGGATAACAACACTAAACTAAACTTTCTTTTACTATATAGTCAGAAAGTCCTGGTCTCAAGAAATCTGTGTCACTACTTTCTCTGAATACTCCAAACAGCAATCGCAAAAGACGTCGTTTGAAAGAGACCCTTGCTCAACTGACCAGAGAAACAGACATGTCTCCATTCCCTCCTCGGAAGCGGCCTTCAGCTGAACATTCGCTTTCTATTGGATCCTTGCTGGATATTTCTAACACTCCAGAGTCGAGCACTACCAGTGGAGGTAGAGCTAAAAACTTGCAGACACACTTGCAATATTTAAGAGCTCTCTGCATAGAAGTGGTAATAGTACAGAAATCGTACAGGTTTTGCTACAGGTGTCCTAAGTACTTGCAGTCTTTCTCCTTTTTGAAGCGTGCAAAAAGCAGAATTGCAGTGAAGAGCTCAGACACAGGCAGAGACCAGGCTGCCTCTTGTCATCACACTAAGCATATTTATACCTGAAGGAAAACAAGGAAAAGATATAGAGTTGACAAATATGAAGTACAGTACTGTGTTATTCCAAAATGCTTCAAATGCTCTGCTGAAAATAAGCAACATAGTTAACAGTAAATCATCTAAAAACCTCTCCAGTAGGATACTTGGAGAAAGGAGGACAAAGATTCTTTTCTAAAGGAATTAAAGGGAAAATTCCTGCAAAGCCCGTTCCTCCTAGGTCTTTGAAAAGGTCTTTTGAGGTAACACTGTTTGTGCCATCAAAGTGTTGTGTCTAAAACTTCACAAGAATATAAATCACCAATTGGTTTTGATCGGTTAGTTGGCAAAGAGCTTTTAATGTCTCTGCACGTGGCTCTTGTGGAAAAGAGGAAACTGCAAAATTGTAGATTAGTCAAAATCTAATACCCGAGGGTTTAAAAAAAAAAAAAGGCCTAGTTTCATTATATAGAGAAGATATCTGGAGTTAGTACTGCTTTAAAAATGCCCCTATACACAAGTCAAGTAACCTTAGTGAGGCACAACCTGTAAGTGATAATTCAGAAGAAATACGGGAAAAATGGGCTTACTCTGAAAGACCAGCTTTCTTAAATCATGCTAGCACTCTCATAACCCCTGGTACACAAGTTTCTTCTAATTCAACCTCAGCAGAGAGTTTCAGAAAAAGTGCTATTTTGAAAACAACAGGGGAGGTAATTATTTTGCAATAACTGTGACAGTAACGAACTTTGACGTCAGAATGAGTGAGTACAGATCTCTGCTGTCCAACACATGTGCAAGTATTTAAAACTAATGGACCGCTCCAGATCCACCTTGGCTTTAGCTTTAAGAGAAATGAACCATGTGTCTTTATTTTCCTTTCCCCCCTCACCCCAATAGGATGAAATGTAAGTGTTGCATGTAAGGATTGATTTTAATAGGTGGTTTTGAGCTACATACCTAATGCAAGGATGGTGGGCAGCTGAAAGATAATTGTTTATGTGGCAAAGTGAAAGTAGAAAAGTACTTTTGTACATAGTGTATGTATAAATAATGTTCAGAACCTAATCCTCAGTTTAAGTTATTGACCCAAGGTTAAGTCACTGACCTGCCCATAAATGGCTTATTAGTTTCAGACTAATTTTGGAGAATAATATATTATTGTTGTTGTTCTATAATTAGGCTATAATAAAGAAAGCTATTGTCCAGAAAGAGCTCTGGTAACTATAGAAAAACCTACATAATAGCTTTTAAGGAAAACAATGCTACTTCCCCTTGAAAATTCTGAAGGGCTTTTCTTCTGTCTTAAGAGTCCCTCAAAAAGCTCATTCTCAACTGTAATAGAGCTCATATTTTCTTTTGGGAATATTTCTTCATCAGAAACACCAAAATCCTGTGCAAGGCCTTCAAAAAACTCAACTCCTCTTCCACTAAAACAGTCTGCAAGATGGCAGGTTGCAAAGGAATTGTATCAGACTGAAAGTAACTATGTTGACATTCTAACAACAATCATTCAGGTAAGCTCTTTTTAAAGCAAGTACAGGTCAATTGTAGTAAGACTCTAGTGTTTACATCAATGATTATTTTCAGCCTGTGATCTGCAGGCCTTTGAGGGCTTGGGTGCATCAAAGCTCCATTAAAAAGGTGGCAAGTAAGCAGTCTCCTGTCATTTTACTGGCATATAAAAATGTTTAGCATCTGTTAATAATAAAGGCTGGAAAATACAATTTCTAATCTGGGATCTGCATTGGAATTGTGGCTTGCATGGAAATCCTAAGCTTCAGGAAAATATGATCTTCATGCCTCAGATTTTTAAGGTATTAGTGAGTAGAGAGAGATTGCAGGGGAGTTTGTTTTGGGGTTTTTTTTAATGATTCCAAGAAGAGCGGAATAGCAAATAGCTTACCATGTTCTGGTTTCAGATGGGATAGATCTAATTTTTTCCTAGTAGCTGGTATAGTGCTGTGTTTTGTATTTGGAATGAAAATAATGTTGAAACCAGGACACAAACTCTAGAAAGTTTGTTTCCATTGCAGCTGATTATGTACTTAATGAGCTAAGATGTGTGTGAGTAGAAAAATAGATAAAAGGGGCTTATGCTGTAGTAACTTATCAAACTGAATGTGCGTATCTTAACCCCTCCTCTATAACCCACTCTTGCTAAATGGGGACAGAATGTCTCAAGACTGTGACTGCAAGAAAGTATGATCTGGAAGGAAAAGCGTTACTTTCGTAACTATTTCGAACACAATGTGTGGAGGTTGGGAGGGCATTAACTTTTTTGCCTAATTCCTCAGTTATTTCAAGTTCCGTTGGAGAAGGAAGGACAACTTGGAGGACCAATTCTTGCACAGGAAGAGATTAAGACCATATTTGGCAGCATTCCAGATATTCTTGATGTGCATACTAAAATCAAGGCAAGCTGCAACTTCTCCCCCGCAGGGGGAAGCTTTAATACAGACTTAAAATCTTTTCTGTGTGCTTTAAGCTGTATCTACTGGATGGGTGTAGATTCATCCTGGTGCTGTTCCATACTGTTCAACCTATGGAATTATGTGCAAATCCAAAGTACGCTTTAAGATTTAACAATTATTTATAAATATCTGAAGTCTGAGTATTGTGCATGTAACTAATATTGCCATGCATGAGCTGGCCTGTCCTTTTCCCATTTTAATACCTTTTCCTGTAGGAGGTGTTCTGTAACTAAAACTGGTGAAAAGGGTCAGTGGTATCAAGTGGTAGTCTAACTCTCAGAAGTGCTTTTAACGTATATGTTTCTATTAAAGCGGTAAGCAGGGGATCTTGGAAGGATAGCTAAAGCTGTGGAATTAAGAAAAAAAAAACAAACACCAAAAACCACCCAACAAATCAAAATTGGTGTTTTCCTGGGATTTAGACATGTTCCTATAAGGAGACTTTTAACCAATTGTGAGAAACTACTGGCTTATAAAACTGGCTTGCACTTCAACCTCTGAAGCAGTTGACCTCGTGCTGAGGCCTAATAAGAGCTGATTAGAATTCCCTATGAGATTGTTTTCTCGAAGCTTGCTTTATTTTATGTTTTGAACTGGATTGCCAGTGCTCTCTGAAGCCATTTCTGGGTCTCACAATAGACTATGATGCAAGTTTTCCTTAAATATGAGGTCATAAAATCTCCTTCAAATAATGGCATATGTCTGTTCCTGTCTGAATTTCACAGTAGGCTTTTAAAATAGAGAGACTTGCAGACTGCCTGTAACTCAATAGTTTGGTTTGGTTTCGTGTGTGTTTTTTTTTTTTTCAACTGTTAGGATCCAGTCTAGTTAATCACTGATAGGTATTGATATGTGCTCAGTGAGATGAAAATAGAGTATGTATATCCATGTGTCAAGTAGGATTCACGTGGAGCATGCAGTGTAGACAAAGGTGCTTGGATGTAATGGTTGTATTTTCCTTCATCTTTGCCCCTTATCTTTATTACACCAGCAACAAACCAGTATTAATGGTGAATCCCTTTCACTTAAGGTGAATCCTGAAGCTTCAGCTGTGCCCTCCTGTCACTGTTATTAGCTGACAGTGAATGAGCTTGATCCTTATCAAGCTGATATAGGCTTAACAGCTTGGTCTCACTTTCCTTGACACCTTGGTGCAGCAAGCGAGGGAAATCTATGCTAGTACTATTTCAATCCTGTCTTATGGACTTAAGAGTCCTGTATTAGTTGTGCACTCTTAATTAGAACTGGTTCAACTGTCTTCTGTGTGTACTCTTTTAATAATCATTTGGGATATGTTCCGTGTAGTGTGCTGGACGCAGCAGTGTCATCTTGTTGCAGTTGGCTAGTGCTTATACACTGCTAGGCTCTGCTTGCATTGATTCAAAACTATATATTCAGCAAGCCAGATGTCTCTTGCTTTCAGATCTCAGTAGACTGAAGGGGCTTAATGTGAAATTGTACAGCTTTTAGGTTTGCCTGTTTTGTCAGCATGGTAACACACAGCTAATTACATGTGTTTGGCAGAACACTGATCCCATCTTACAGCTTTATGTGGTTCTTTCTCATCTTATTTGGTTCCTCCCCTACCCTTGCATGTATTCTAGGAAGACCTGGAGGATCTTATGATGAGTTGGACTGAAAACAAAAGTATTGGTGATATAATTCTTAAATATGTAAGTTTGTTTTCATTTTTTTAATGCATTAGAGTTATGAGCTAGTATCTTGCCTTACAAATAATCCATTTGTAGGAGCTAGCAAACACAAACAAAACACTACTGAGTGAAAAGGAACACTGACTTGTATCGCTGTACCTTCTGTTTAGACTCTTCAGTTGACTTAGATGATATACTTTGTATAGGTCATCCATGTCAAGTTTAAGTGTATGTGTGTGTCCACTTGTATGAGGGGGTAAAACTCCAAATACATACAGTTTGAGAACTGTAATTTGCAACACTACAGACAGCTTTTTACTCGGATGTTAAAAGGGGCTCGTTCTGTAACCTTAGCTCTCTGCTGCCTCTGATTAATAGTAAATAGCCAGGAAAATAACTCTTCATAGAAACATCTTGTGTTCTTCCTTCAAGACTTGAAATGCTTAAGTGATAAGGACTCTCTGTTTTCCCAAGTACAGAATGTGCGGAACAGGAAAGCTAGGTCTGGGATTGCAATGCATTTTAACATAAGTAGTCTGCTATGTCTCTTGTGCTTTTGCTGACCTGATCATTTTGAGGCAAATAGTGTGTGGCATTCAAAAGTTTTCAGTCTAAGGTATTGCTTCTGGCAGTTTAATGCCTTTTAAAGGTATTAAAGGTAACTGGAGAAACTACCTGTCTGAAATTTCCCAAGTTCTCACCAAAAGCATCTTGCTAGCTGAGAATCTGCCTTCTATTTGAGCTGCTCAGCAGCTTCTAAGACCCTCACATGTGTTCTTGATGTTTGAGAGCTGTCGGCATTTAATCAGCAGCATTGAATCTTGGGCATCTGGCATGCAGAAATGTCTTAACTCGTTCTGTGAACACACATGGGTTTACAACACATTTTTTATTATTCTTTATCGAAATGTCTTTGAGCAACTTTATATGGCTCAGGGCATATGAACATATGTACAATGCTACATAATATGTAAAGTAGAGTGGTAACAGTTGTTTCTTTCAGTCGAAAGACTTGTTGAAAACATACCCTCCATTTGTGAATTTCTTCGAAATGAGACAGGAGACTATTACTAGATGTGAAAAACAGAAGCCTAGGTTTCATGCCTTCCTAAAGGTAAGTGTCTGCAGAACTAAGTCTTTGAGTAGAACATGGAGACCATTATCCAGTAAACTACTTAATGCAGTAGATGGAAGAATCTGGAAGCTGGGAGGAATGTGAACATCTCTTGGTGAGGCAGAAATAGGAAGGATTTGAATTTCAATCCCTCAGGCTCCTCAGGTCCAAGTTCTTCCTCTGTTATACAGATTTCAAGGTAATTTAATTATATGCATTTGTTGCTGGAAAAAGTGCATTCTGATTACCTTCTCCCAAATACATGTCTTCTCTTTTCTGTAAAGGTTACTAGAGCTGCAGCTTCTTGTTGGTCCCCCTCCCAGTGTTTAAAAGACTTCTATTTCTGAAATAGCTTTTAACTAGGTTTTTGCAGCTGTGAAGTTCCAGGGAGGTAGAATCTCTCAACATTCTTGTGACTAATGAATAAGAGCATAACAGTGGAGATCTAACATGAAGATGATCTTCAAAGAAAGTGTTAGCCGAAGATGAGTCTTAAGACTCTTGAGCTTTCTGATAAAGGTATATAGTTGATTAATAGTGCAGCATAGCTTTAACTCCCTCTTCTATATCGAACAAGTGTGTCTCAAATAGGGGAGTAATCAAACTGACAGATTTCAGCTCATGTTTCCTGAGGTACCAGGAATTATATCCAAGAATTGATATCTAAAAGATGGGGCAATTAATAAGAGAACAGGCTGTCCCCTGTCCCAGCCCACATTAGCATCTGAAATAAGAACTGAGGGGTTGATAAGATGGACGGTTTAAAACTAGACATTCTGAGAACATAAATCATGTCACAAATATTGCACAGATTTGAATATAATGTGTTTTCTAACATGATCTGTTAGTGACTGAGTATCTGTGGTAAATTATTCTCAAACTTTTACTGCAATGCTAGTTTCAAGGAAGACAGTTTTTCTCTTAGTTTGTGGGGTTTGGGGTGTGTTTGTTGGGGGTGTGTGTGGAAGTAAGAATTAGTTTCTTTCTCCCCTTTCTTTTCCCCAGATAAACCAAGCTAAACCTGAATGTGGCCGCCAAAGCCTAGCTGAACTCCTTATCCGTCCTGTTCAAAGGCTGCCTAGTGTTGCTTTACTACTAAATGGTAATCTAGTGATGTATTTTTTCATTAGTTTGTCTGTTGAAGGTGTTAAAACCAAGATAATGCTTGCTTTTGTCATAATTAGCAACAGCTTTTTTCATATATAACAAGCCTGATTCTGGGAGTTAATAATGCTTAATGGCAATCAGCAAGACCAATTGCTGAAGAAAGCATACTTCTGGCTAAATTTCACTTGTTCACGTATTTGTCTGTAGAATACAGGTAGAGGAAGATTTTGCTTTGGCAAGTTTTGTCTCTTCAAATACAAATATAATTGAGATTCAGATGCAGCTAGCGTAAACTAGAGAGCAATCGGTGTTGAAAGGGCTTACAGGTTTATGTATGCCACTTGGCATCAGCCACTTGCTGTAATGACAATTACATTTAATAAAAAAAAAATCCCCACACACCAGCACCCTTTGGTTCAGTTAGAAGACTTCTATGCTTGTCTCTGCACTTCAACAAAACCAGCATGTGATCTTGTTGATTTTTTTTTTATTAGTATAGGGGTTTGGTTTTGTATTGTAGGTGGGTTTTTTCTTAATGAGATGTACAGACAATTGCTGCTCAGCCTACTTCCCCACTTAATCAAGGCTATTTGGACTCCAGGATAGCTGTGATTTCTTCAGTAATCTTATATGACTTACAGTTTAAACTTGATTTTTTTTTTTCATATTTCTTTTCGGGCACTTGTAATATGTGGGGTGTTTAAATTTTTTTATTTTTGCATTTTAGATATTAAGAAGCATACAGCAGAAGAGAACCCAGATAAAATAACTCTAGAGAGAGCTATTGAATCGTTGAAGGAAGTGATGACGTAAGTGATGCTCATTCTATGAAACATACTGTTAGATGTTTAAATCTCTATTAGTTCTAAATTGCTCTTAGTGTATTGTTACAGAATAGTATGTGTTCTTCAGTCTCCCTTTCGCCACTGTTGTCCCTCTGGCATTCTGTGCCAGCACTCTCGGAGGAGTCTGTGGCATGTTATCCAGCTTTCTACTGGAACGTCTGCTGACTTCCTGCCTCAGCGTGAAGTTGAACCTCTCAAGTCCTCTGTTCTGTTCCAACTCTTCCATTCTGGAGGGAACAGATAGAAATGAGAGATGTGTTTTGTCTTTAAATCTTACTTCTATGCATATATCCACTGAAAGGACAGTGGAAGACTAGTTTCTCTTCTGGTCCTGTATTGCTATTCTTGGCACCATTCCATGAGTTAATTAGCTTAAAGCTGAAGCTGTTTAGATTGTAAGTCTCACCTCTTCTGAAGTGTAGCATATGTCTCCAGCGATGAGACCTTCTGTATTAATTGGATAAATGTTTGTCCGATTTTAGCAACAATAACTTCTAAGTTTTAATTATTCTTGCATTTACTTCTTGGTGAGCTGCAGTCCTGATTTGGGGTGGGGGGGATAAAATGCAGACTGTAAAAAAA